TCCCGCGTAGCTGGGATTATAGGCGCCTGCCACCGTGCCTGGCTAATTTTTGTATTTTTAATAGAGACGTGGTTTCATCATGTTGGCCAGGCTGGTCTCGAACTCCTGACTTCAGTTGATCCACCCACCTCAGCCTCCCAAAGTGCAGGGATTACAGGCGTGAGCCACCACGCCTGGCAGAATTGTATTTTTTTTTTTTTTTTTTTGAAACGGAGTCTCCCTGTGTCGTCCAGGCTGGAGTGCAGTGGCTGGATCTCAGCTCACTGCAAGCTCCGCCTCCCGGGTTTACACCATTCTCCGGCCTCAGCCTCCCGAGTAGCTGGGACTACAGGGGCCCGCCACCTCGCCCGGCTAGTTTTTTGTATTTTTTAGTAGAGACGGGGTTTCACCGGGTTAGCCAGGATGGTTTCGATTTCCTGACCTCGTGATCTGCCGGTCTCGGCCTCCCAAAGTGCTGGGATTACAGGCTTGAGCCACCGCGCCAGGCCAGAATTGTGTATCTTTAAGACAATTCCATAGTTAAAAACAAGACTACTCTGAATTGACAAAAATGCTTCAAAGTAACATCCCAGATTTCTATCAACTTATTTTAAAAATTCAAGAAGTATTTCTTTTTTAAAAAATTAATGGTGCTAATAATATCTTCATATTAACATTTCAATATTTAGCCTGAGTGTGGTGGCTCACACCTGTAATGCCAGCACTTTGGGAGGCCAAGGTGGGCAGATCACTTGAGGTCAGGAGTACAAGACAAGCCTGTCCAACATGGTGAAACCCCATCTCTATTAAAAATAAAAAAAATAGCCCAGCATGGTGGTGAGCACCTATAATCCCAGCTACTCAGGAGGCTGAGGCAGGAGAATCACTTGAACCTGGGAGGTGGAGATTGCAATGAGCCCAGATTGCACCACTGCACTCCAGCCTGGGCCATAGAGCGAGAGTCCGTCAAAAAAAAATAATAATAAAATGAATGCAATTTTATATCCTGTATAGTTCCTTTTGAGACAATTTTTTGTAGATTTTGAATTTTTTAAACTAAAAAGGTGTGTTTAATTCTGTTATGTCCGGTTTAACAAGGAGAAATTCAGTCAACGCTTCCATGTTCATTCAGTGCTTCTGAATGGTAACCTGAGATTCATAAAAATGACTGGAGGCACAAAAGTCTGCCTTGAAATTTTTTTTTATAATAGAGAAATATATAATTGAGGCAATACTTCACAATTTTAAAACTGTTAATCCTAAAAACTCTAAAATATGGGCAATTAAATACTTCATAAGTCCTTTAAGATGGAAAAAAAAAACCCAGTAAACATATTTAATGATTATATAACTAATAATTATACACTAGGATCATTAATGGAAATTGTGATTTCAAACCCTTGTTGCCAGGCACAAATAAATCCCCATTAACTGCTCTAGATCTATTGATACTTGCTACATTGGCTTAAAATTTGGGTCTATAAGAAAGATAAAATAGGTACTAAAATTTTAAATCAAGGTGTTTACTCAGACTCCAATTTTTTTTTAAACTGTTTGTGTTTAGCAAGGCTTAAAACCATTGCAAATAACAGAAATTATAAACATGCCTGGCAAACATTTGTACTTTTACTGGAACTGAGTTAGTATTTTAAAATTTCTGAGAGGGTTCTTAGAAATTTTAGTAAAGTCAATAGATGCTGTTTAAGCAAAGTAAAAAATTTTAAGTGAAAATTCATAGTTCACAAATTCTACCATATTTATAGGTTGTTAAATATGTAACAAGGTTTAAAGAGACAACTTGGTTCTAAAAAATTAATTATAAATTAATAAGCTGCATTTGATATATTTGCACAGAAGATAAATGCCCCCCTCAACATTATTATTAAAATGATGGAATTAGAAAATGGTATTCAATGGTAGTCTGTCTGATATATTAGTTTTATTTATAAAGAGTCTGGTTCTAAAAACAAATAAATAGTTACAATTGAAACTCTTTATATTTACTATTTACATTAAAAAAAAAACCCTATAAACTAAGCATAAAAGTTAAGCCTAAGATAGAAATTTGTAAGAAAACATTATACAAAGTAAAACCTGGCCAGGCGTGGTGGCTCACACTTGTAATCCCAATACATTGGGAGGCCTAGGAGTGCGGATCACCTGAGGTCAGGAATTCAAAACCAGCCTGGCCAACATGGTGAAACCCCCATCTCTATTAAAAATGCAAAATTAGCCTGGCGTGTTGGCGGGCACCTATAATCCCAGCTACTCAGGAGGATGAGACAGGAGAATAGTTTGAACACTGGAGGTGGAGGTTGCAGTGAGCTAAGGTCATACCACTGTACTCCAGCTTGGGTGACAAGAGCAAAACTCCATCCCAAAAATAAAAACAAAATTAAAATAAAGTCTAAGATGGACCACTCTGACAATGCACTATTAAAGGCTTCTAATTTTTCCTGTAACAGAAAATGTCCAAAGTTTCTATGGTTTCTCAAACTTTGTTAGCAATATTAAGGTTTGTTATGTCCAAGAATTTTACCTATTTTAGTAAGTACCATAATTACTTTTGCACCAACCTAATAATACTTTTTATAACATAAATCTCAGGGTTACTTCAAATGAAAAATATGTTTTGGAACACAGCATAAGAATCCCAGAGAACTGTATTTAAAAGAACTGCTCAATATCTTAAGTTATTAGACAAGGCTGAAATTTGAAAAGTTTGAAAGGCAAATTCAGATTAAGATTAACCCAAACTATCAGTAATTCTTTCAAGTCAAATGTTCAAAGAAAAATAAAAAGATACTACTCAAAATAGCTCCTAGAATCTATTGTCATATTTTCAGTGTTTTCTGATAATGTCCACTTAATTTTGTTATTAAATATAAAACGTGGCAGTTCTTCTCAATGTGTGCCTGTATTGTTTTCCAGGTGAACAGAATGGTTCTACCAAGATTTCATTACTTTTCACAGTTGGTGCTTTGTAATTCTGTGTAATTTTAATTAAAGAAGAATTCTGAAACAGCCTCCCTCTGTGCTACCTCCAAGCATACAATTAGCAGAGTACAGTGTCTGCTGTGAACAGTCAGTTAATGATTTCAGTTTAATAATTTATTATTGCTTCTTCAGTGCCAGCCACACTAGAAAAATAAGAAACTGAAACTGCATGTAGCAAACAGGCATTTAAGGTGCATGGTTTAACAATCTCAAAAGGATTACTTTCTCTGTGTAAGTCAGCCTAATATCTCCACAAGCCCCAAATCCTTATAAATGAATGAGTACTATTTTTTTCTCCCAAGGTTTCAAGGAGAAAATAAATTTAGATTTTCCTCTTAAATGTGTCTGTGTTTAGTGAATGGTTCCTATGTCAAAGTGTCCTTCCCTCACTACTTAAAAACAAGACATTCTTCTCAAATATACCTTTGGGGTATTAGAGGGGTATGAGTAACTTTATACACTGGTATTAAGTCAAATTTAAATAGTCTTTTAAAAAAGGTTGTAAGTTCTGCAATGAGCCATTTCCGCAACTCGAAAATCTGGTTAACCAAGCTGAACTGCAATTCTTGAACCTAAAATGATTCTTCATTTAAAGAAATCACTTTATTATTACACTAGAGAAATCAAGGCATTTATGTTACACAATCTATTTTTTACAAAAAAATTGCAAAGCAATCTCTAAGTAATCACTAGTTCTTTCAATAAATTTGTATTCTATTAGTCCATTCTGAAAATTGGCACCTCGATTATAAGGATGTTGGAGAGTTAAATTTGATAAAAAATTTCAAAAACAAAGGAACAAAAACATACTATTAAATTATACTTTTTAATATTGGCATAAAAAAGATAATACATTTGATGTAATTTGTTTCAATTGTGGGTATATGAGATCATAGGCTATTATATAATAGTAATATTTTATTTATGTATATATTCAGAGCCATATATATGCATACATATAATATTTCAAATATTTCAATCTGTATAATTCATAGATAAAACTATATTTGCTGATATACAGTTAGACTTATCTACAGAAATCAGTGCATTTTTCATATTGATTAAAATTATCTTATTTTATTTATATATTATTTCTAGATCCTTATTGAAAATTACATAATTGAGGAAAAGTATGAAAAAAGCAAATATATTTAATAAAATTCAGAGCTGTAGAAATCACTTTAACCCTAAATTTTTACACTTTACATTTGCACTTAGCTCTATCTCATCCCATGTCTACAGGATAAAACACAGAGCCAAAGTGTGAAGAAGAAGAGTATATTAGCTACACAAAGACAGTAAAAAAATATTTGTCTGTTCTCTTCTTCCAAAGGGTAAGGGGAGCTGGATAGAGTGGATGTCCTGAATTTCCCAAAAAATGTCATTCTAATGACATTCCCCTAAATGCAACAAGAGAAGCACAGATGTACATGACTTTACTGCCTAAACATTCATCTGAAATTCCTTAGATAGTAAACTGAAACATCTTGCATAACACAATACTGTAATTATGTTCACACATTGGAGCATAAATGAGTTGATGTAATCATGTTGCATTTGACACAAAGCTTTACAGTACATAAGAAAGGATAAACAGATTGTTTTATTCACAATAGCAATAATACCATTGTCTTTAGTTTATGGCTCATAAATGTCATGTGAAGTCTATAATAGTTTTAAAAAGTAGTCCTAAGAATCATCACCATTCTATTTCTTTTGCTTTTACTATCACTTGAGGAATTAATAAAAATGCACTAAAATTCATATCTAATTTTAATTTGTCTAAGTTTTATAACTCAGTTTGCAACTTGTAAACAAAATTTTGATAGAAAATAATGGATGCCTATTGCTATTTCCACAAGAGCCATTTATCTGAGTTGCTTAAGAAACACTTTAATAAAAACAGCAGTTTAAGAACTGTATTGAAATTATGCCCTCTTTTCTCTAAGATGGAAAATGTATTCTCTGTTTCACTGCGTGCTATTTTTGAGGATAAGAACGATTGTCAACCATTTGTTTTCCAGATATTCGGGACAGTGGGGGTCCCAAACCAGTGATGGTGTATATCCATGGTGGCTCATATATGGAAGGTACTGGAAATTTATATGATGGAAGTGTCTTGGCAAGTTATGGCAATGTGATTGTCATTACAGTCAACTATCGACTTGGGGTACTCGGTAAGAAGAATCTCTTTATCATTTTCACGACGAATCCATGAAGTATATGATGGTTTTGTTTTGATTTGTTTTGTTCTGCTTTGCTTTGTTTCACCCATGTTTTTATGCTTGTTGACGTTCTTGAACCCAAATTTTTTGTAGTTTCAATGAACTCTATAGGTTGGCTTTATGATGTGAAACTAAAAGGTGATGAAATTATTTATGTTGTCATGGAATATACTTCCTGGTTTATAAAACTCTGAAAGGCAAAATAGTAGGGCCTTATTGAAGAAGAGTTCGTCTTTAAACAAATGTTTCCTTCTTCTGCTTTTCTATTTACAATACTGTAAGATTGCCTGAGGTTTGGTGTGAGCTAAGATGTAAGTTTACATTCTCTTCTGGAGTATGTATATGGATTCGCTTTTGGGAATGATTGTTTGCCATTGTGATGGAGGTTTCTTTGGTTTGTTGTTGTTATTTTGGTTCCATAATAATTAGTAATACTTTTCTGAATGTATTCTGATTGAATTATTTAATTTGAAAAAAGTATACATGGATTTTATAAAGTAACAAAGAATTCAGTTCAATGATGTATACTCTTGCCAAAAGAATGATAAAATAAACACAAAGTGGAGATTTTTAGCTGTGATGAGAGAAATATTATTTATAAAATAACTTAAGTAGTCTGAGATAGGCATGTTATCTTATGCAATAACCAGTTTTTAAAAGATAAACTTGCTATTCTAGTATATGTTTATTTGTTTTAATGTTGCCACAATTTGAGGAGTAAAATTACTGTATGATTTAGTAAAACATCTTTATCTGTGATGTACTTAACAGAATTTGCTAAAAGAGCATAATGCATCCACAAAATATTTAAATTTTTATTCTTGATTGTTCTCCAAGTCTTATCTCATACTATACACTTGAAGAAGTATAAATTATAATTTTGTTTCTACACAAAGAAGCACCTCACTCTTTCATTTTATTATCTAAAATATTCTGGAAAAGGATTTTGAATTATATTCCTGTTTATAATAATTGGTAGAATATCTTTTATCCATGTTGAGAATCAGAATTTTTTCTTCTTCAGTGTTATCCTAACTCCTATGCAGTCATAATTCTGTGTTTAAGCTTATCACAAAGGTAGAATAGTTTTAAAAGGTGGAATAATTTTTGTGAATCAAGTTTATAGTCTGGAGGAAGGAGATATTTTACCAATGTGAAGGTTAAGTCTCAATCATTTTCTAGTTTGCTTTTTTGAAATTTGGAGTGTGGTGAATGACCATAGATGTGCTGCATCAGTATAGGTATAAAATATTTCTGTAGCATTGATCAAATACACATGAGTTCCTCCATAGTGTCTAATCATCCATTGCATCAAACATTCACACGATTTCTGTGAGCTGGGATAAGTGTCTTTCCACCAATGAAAATTCTGTGTATTAGAAGATGTACAAATGATTGCTCATAATAATTCTTGAATCTTAAATCTTGAATTCTTAAATCTTAATGTTGTCATTTGTTTCCTGTGGAACATTTTAATTGGAAGGAGGGTTTTTAATATTTTAATGCATTGAATTTTAATTGTAGTATTGTTGAGAGCTCAGTCGTTTTTGTTGATTATTATTCTTCTATTTTTCTAATTTTTCAAGTGAAAAATCCTGTGCAGTGACCAGTTTGCTGGATGAAACTTTAAATTGAAATGCTAAATTATGGTAACAGTGTTTTTAAGGACTTGAACATCCAGTTAGTCATATATATTTATTTTATTTAAGAAATGCTTTGGTCACAACTTTTTTTTTTTTTTTTTTTTTTCCTCTTTCTGTTACTGGTTTTGATTATATAAAGCAAGATTTCATAAAATAAACTTTGTTGTTATGTTAATATAAACTTTACCCATTCTTTTTCTTTTTATGTATTCAGAACTGATGAGGACTTGACTTTGACCTGATTATAATCCTATATTCATGCCCATACCCCATTTTAAATGCCACACTGTGAGGATTAGATTGCAAGGTAATGGATTAACTCCCCAAAATATAAAGAACTCAATCACTTGGTTTAGATAGTAGCAGACAGCAGACAGTGTTGATGTTATTGAAGTATGATTTCCCAGTGTTAAATATTTGTTCTGGCTCTACTGTACCCTAGAATGTAACATTTAGTTTTCTTTTCTCCTTTATTTCTCTTAAACACATTATACACTGATAACAAGCCAGAGGCTGTCCTTGATAGACCTCCTTTCAATGTGACAAAGCATAAACTCTGTGAAACATTGTTTAGATAGACTTCAAGACATTAGCTCTCTAACAGATGTATTCTGGTCACTTTTTTTGAAAAATATGTGTTGGGTATTGTGAACATGTATTTAAATAAATTAATTCATAAAAGAGAAATTATCAGAACATGTGTTTCAGCATATTTTGCATGAGTGCTGCACCACAGCAAGATCAACAACTCATCTGACAGAACTGCAACAATAAAGACTGTAGACTTTTGAGGGTGGTGTTGTGAATAATTTGTCTAACAGTAAAAAGGTAAGCCAAGGTTTCTTGGGTGTGGGATCCAAGACTATGGCTGTCTAATTTGCACTTGAGTGATTAAGTAGGAAATAAGATATGATCCCACATCGGAGGAAATCCTGAGCTGTGTTTTCACTGGGGTATTTTGGTGTGAAAGAAATAGATTTGGGGGTCCAATGGACAAAATGGGTAATTATAAGATCATTGATTCGAGGTGACTGGCTGGAACAATCAGGATGTCTGCAACAGGTAGTGCAATTTGTGTCGATTTGAACTTACCATGTGGAGGTGGTGGGGAATCTTACAAGTTTTGTTTTTCGCTTTGTTTTTAGTGATGAGTAGAGATGTGCTAATGTTTCAGTTAGAAAATTCATACAGCTATGTAGCTGCCAATTTTTCAGTTTAAAGATTTCTTGTTAAAAAGTTGTTTATTACAAAGTAGGAATAGAATAGAAGAAAAAAATATACCTCCACTGTTCCTCAGAAGAAGGTAGTAACAGGTCAGAATTAGTTCTTCTACCAACACCCTTTAGTGGTTTCCTTTGGAGTGGTAACACAGAATATCACTCTTACTGTGTTGTGTATGATTTTCACCCACCCTGGAAATGCTATTCAAAATGATAGGAAAAACTGCCAATAAGATTGACAAAGAGGGAAGGGACTGCAGGATTCTGCCTGCTAACCTCATTCCCCAGTTTCATGGTAGAGCTCCCAGAGACCTCCTACTATTTAGCCTCATACTTCTTATCCACTGAATATTTAACTTTTCTTTCACTTTTGGCTATACACATTCTTTGTCCTCAGTCAGTTTGGACATAAACTTTCCATATTTGCTTTCTTCAGCATCTCTTATTTGATACATTGTTACATAGTCCTTAAATATGTTTAAAATTATTGTTAGTAGGGTATTTTTTTAACATTCCAGTATATGACTTATCATCATCTTAGAAATGTAGGGAGAAATGGCCAGGTGCGGTGGCTCACGCCTGTAATCCCAGCACTTTGGGAGGCCAAGGTGGGTGGATGGCCTGAGGCCAGGAGCTCGAGACCAGCCTGGCCAACATGGTGAAACCTCGTCTCTAGCAAAAATGCAAAAAATCAGCTTGGTGCAGTGGTGGGTGCCTGTAATCGCAGGCTGAGGCAGGAGAAGCATCACTTGAACCTGGGAGGTGGAGGTTGCTGTGAGCTGAGATTGCGCCATTACACTCCAGCCTGGGCGAGAAGAGCGAAACTCGGTCAAAGAAAGAGAGAGAGAGAGAGAGAGAGAGGAAGAGAGGAAGGGAGGAAGGGAGGGAGGGAGGAAAGGAGGAAAGGAGGAAGGGAGGAAGGGAGGAGGGGAGGAAGGGAGGAAGGAGGGGTGGGAGGGAAAGAAAGAAAGAAAGAAAGAAAGAAAGAAAGAAAGAAAGAAAGAAAGAAAGAAAGAAAGAAAGAAAGAGAAAGAGAGAGAAAGAAAGAAAGAGAGAGAGAAAGAAAGAAAGAAAGAAAGAAAGAAAGAAAGAAAGAGAGAGAGAGAGAGAGAGAGAGAGGGAGGGAGGGAGGGAGGGAGGGAGGGAAGGAAGGAAGGAAGGAAAGAGAGAGAGAAGGAAGGAAGGAAGGAGAGAGAGAGAGGGAGGGAACGAAAGAAAGAAAGAAAGAAAGAAAGAAAGAAAGAAAGAAAGAAAGAAAGAAAGAAAGAAAGAGAAAAGAAAGAAAAGAGAGAGAAAAAAAGAAAGAAAGAGAAAGAAAGAAAAAGAAAGAAAGGAAGGAAGGAAAGAAAGAAAGGAAAGAAAGAAAGGAAAGAAAGAAAGGAAGGAAGGAAGGAAGAAAGAAAAGAGAAAAATGCAGGGAGAAATATTGATGTGTTCTTAAAGGGGGAAATAATCAAAATTAAATTTTCTGATTCTAACGAGGGTAAACATGTTCTTATGAACAAGAATTATAGAATATATAAGATAAGAATTGAAAGAGAATATAAAATAAGTTACTATTAGATGAGATGTTGTACAGTAAACTTTTTTTAAATAGAAATTATTTAAATGATAATATTGACAAATCTCAAAAATGAAAAAATATGTTAAGTAATTTATCATTAAAATGTTTCAACTACTTATTTAAATTTAGAATAAATCTATAAATTACTTATGGAGTAAAAGAAAAATTTTAATACCCCTGTGAGGATCTTGCTTGGGCAAACAAGATTTTAATCTGGTAGAAATTTAATCAGTTACTTTTATCTTGACATAAATATCTTGGAGGCAATTATGTAATTCATAATTCTAGCCCATGTGATTTATTTTAGAAAAAAAGTGTTAAATATTTTAGAAGTACTGATATCTATCTGGAAATTGGCACATTTTTGGAAAAGGATCTAATTAAATATTTTACTTAGTAATTGAATATTAAAGTGCTAGCTCACCTACTTATATTTAAACAATTACATTTAGTTTACTTTATAATTCTATGTGGGGCTAAATTGTTTAAAACAAGCTTTTGTTAACTTTACTACATATACATTTA